TGCTTGTGACATTGGTGTAGATTATCTGCTCAATTAGGGTGACAGCAGGTTTGTATCATTAGTATTAATATAATTTGACTGCTTTGAATCAGCCTGGCTCACCCTTTGTGTTACCTGAGTAGGTGGTACGTTTCAGTTAAGTGACCCTGAGAAGATAAAATGCCTGTCACTAGTCAGCAGTGAGGGAGCAGGTGGCGGCTTGCTTTTTTCGTGTATTTCTTATTCAGCTTCAGTTTTTTTTAACTTCCAAGGATTTTTCCATTAACATATTTGTTAATAAATCCCACCTCTTTGTACAGACTCCTGCCTAGGACTACTTCCTTCAACACCCCTTTAAGTTTTCCACTGCCAATCAACATCTACTGCTCTTTAAATGTGGTTGCAGCCCTACATATACCCATATGATTGTTCCAAATACAATACTATGCTCTTTTGTAATTAAAATGGCTTGCTTAAGGTTACAGTTTCCAGTGTTCCACACATTAGATCACAATGTTGTGACAGGGTTTATAAATTTAATTGTTACTTTTCCTTATTCTTTATTTTATTTATTCCCACAATCCAAAATATGGGTGAGTAATTTGTGAATCCACCCAACTATTAGTCACAGGCAGGGCAGGAAAAGTCCCTGGGCTATCCAGAATGAATCATTTACATCTCTTCATCCCTACCACTATAAGCATGAGGTTTTACATTTTTCCTTTTCATTCATATCAAACATGCAGGGGCGGACCTAGAGGAGTGGCATGTAGACAGTTTGGTGTCAGATTCTGTCAAATGTAATTCTTAGATCTGTCCCTGCAAACATGCTACATATGATGAGCATTGTGTGATGCAAAATAGAAAATCCTAAATGAGAATAAAATGATACAGTTACAAGGGGGAATTGGTTGGCATATAGTGAACAGTGCAGTTGAAAAAATGTGGCAGTAAACAAATACAATTGATGTTGTTTTCTCCAGGCTTTTCTTCCAAAAGCTGTAATATCCAGTGTGGTCTGACCATTGTTTGTAATATTTATTCAATTGTCTTTCATTCAACAACTGACAGAACTGTGTAAACTGGGAAACAAGAGGAATTTCAAAATTATTTTTATACAACTGAGATTTTTTGTGCGTGGTAACTGCATAAATAAAACTGATGAATGAACTTTCTTATCGAATTGAAAACAATATGGTGGCCCCATCCCTCTTTGTATGCTGATACAGCAACCACTGTACTGAAAACAGCCTGTTATTGCGTAATTAAAAGTTGTTAATTAAACCAGGGTCAGCAATTTAACTTTTGCCTAAAATAATTAGAAAAGGTCAGCATAAAAGGATGAAAGCCTGATCCATAAATGAAAGTTCTTGGACGCTATCCTCAACCTGTCAAAGCCTATTAAATCATAGGCATCACTCTGTGGCTCAATACCAGGGATATTAGGAGACATTACTCATGGAAACAAGCCAACAGGCGGAAAAAGAGTACAGTATGAAATTACAATACTGGCAAATGTGTGAACAAAGAGAAGGGAAGGGCCAGACAAAGAAAGAAAGACAGTAAAGGGGGACATAAGCACAATGGGAGACTAGGATAGTGAGAAGAAATGCACACAGGGATTTAGGGAAGAGAAAGAGCATAGCTGGATAAAAATCAATGATCCAACCCAATGTGGAGCCATCGAAGGCAACGCTAAATCTAAAACAGTTCAAACCAGAAGACAACCCCCTCATGCTGTTCCTCCATGAGTCCTGAACTCTTTTTGTTTTGTTTTCAAGTGCACACATATACTGTACACATACATAAAGCCACATATTATGCATCCTCACATACACACACAGCTGCAGTTACTACTCCTCATCCAGTGTGTTTTAAACTTGGTGGGGAAACACACACCTACCATTATTCCCCATTACATATGTTCAAACAAATAGTTTAAATGGACACTGCACTGTATGATTCAACATTTGCAGTTATGAGCTAGACACCATTTTACCAGAAGAATACCCGATTTCCAATTAGGTTTGATTAAGACATTTTTGCTTGTTGCTCCCCGTGGCAGGAGAAGGTAGATGATAAGCGAGCAGTCTTGTGCATAGTGCTGTCAGCATGAAGGTCATCTTCTCAACAATAGCACAAGCACGCTACCGCTTCAGTACTTTCCTAATTTCTCTCTGGTCTGTGACCTTATGTGCAAAAGTGGTGTTTCTTAATGTGTGACTCAGAAAATGAGGGTTTCTTTGTTTTTTAACTCCAGATGAATAGGCTAAATGTTGTTTTTCCACATATATAAAATGTCAGGTTTTTATTACCAGCATTTGTTCTTTGAATAAAATGAGGAAGATGAACTGCATGAGTAAACACATTTGTATTATACAAAAATAATGATGAAATGTATAGTCTGATAATTAGCTGTTTTCAGGGTGATGACATCAATGTTGACAGTAACATCCTCTCAATCGGCCGATTAATTTGAGCAGGCCTTTAGAGGCAGTGGTCACCAATTTTACGTTCACAATTAGAGGCATTCCTATGTCCATGCAAGAAAGCGACAATGATGCATGGGCTAGGCAGAGGAAAAGGGCAGTGATGTATCTTAGACAGTTTAAATTTGATGAGGACTGTGATGCCAACTATAATGTCATCAGTAAAGGAGAGGGGGAGGCCTGTGTAGCTGGCTTGAGGTCACCGTGTCAAACCTGTTGAAAAGGAGTTTAACTGGTGGTCCCCTCCTGGTTTAACCATTTGGTTAAAACAACTTACACCTAAGAAAGTTTCTCATCCCATTCCACATCTCTTTCACACTAATCTGCCCCACCAATTCCGTCTCCATTGGCGCTCCCTCCTTTTCTGTTTTATTGTTGTTTTTTAACATTTTTACTGCTAACCTAATGATACATATTTGGAGCCCAGATGGTTTTATCAATTGAGGATGGATATAATGTGTGTTTTAATTAATGGAAATCATAGAATTTGATGCAATATGTCATACAGTTTGAGAGCTTTATGTACACATCATGCACCAAGCAAAACACATTCTACAGTCGATTAGCTGACTATTGTACAGCAGAGGCTTCATGCATTCCTGTAAGCACACTCTCAGCAGGCTTCTGGACAAATGTATCTGGGCACAGCACATTCCGTAAAGTAGCTATGTGCATGTTGTGGGCTGTGTGCACCATTAGCCTTGCATACATAAAGTTCCAGACTCCATTTAGAGGAGAGAAAAAATGCTGGGGAAGGTGATCATGGAGATACCAGGGTAATATCCTTTTAACAACAATGGCACAATGACTAATGTATAGTGACTTAAGGTGTAATATATAATATGTATGTAACATGTATAGTATGTCATAACTGCTAGTCATCCACAAACAAGGATCATAGTGTTTTGTAATGATCATAGTTGCAATACATTATAATCATTTTATAATGAATTATAATGTGATTATAAGCTGTTATATGTGGTAATTGGGTGTTTTTAATCCCTGAGGAAGCGTTCATTGTTTACTTAAATATTATAGCCATAGTTTAACACATTTGTAAGTATGTTTGTAATGCAATAAAATGCATATGAGTGCTTATAACTATAAGAATACATTATTATAAGCACAGTACAGGTATGTAAGTTTATAATGCATTATACACATGGGCATCATAGAAAATGTTCAAATTCTCAAAACAGGTACAATAAGCATACTGCTCTTCAAAACCTCCCTGTTTAAATGTATTGTACACTCTTGAATAACTCACCTACATTGCTCCTTACGCTCTATTTCCCCCCGTACACCAGCACCAGCTGTAGGCCTTCCAGCTCACTTGCACAATTGAGTATAACACCCTTTAGCCCTATTTCTGTATAGCAGCTACCTTCAGATGCATTTAGTTATCCAGTTGAGTTCTGACTAAGCTTGAGCAAGTTTAATCATCTTAGTTTGCAAATGAATTCAATTTTCCCCAAGATGAATGAAGAGGTCACACGTTCTGCATCGCCACTACTTTCATGTCAGTGTGCCAGCAACTAAAGCAGCCGGGCTTTTGGCATTTGAGCAGCAGTTAGCATCAGGGATGTAAGCTGTGTTGGACAATAAAAGTTAAGTTATAAAAAAGGAGAATGTGAACCTATCGTAATAATACAATAATATGTTAATCCTAAATAAAACCGCAGAAACCCTGGTTTTTTTTTTCATTATCAAATAGATTTTAAAAAATTAGTATGGAAACACTGAAAGAGACTGATGGAGATACAAGAAAGGTCCTGGGATGCATTCAAACCTTAAAACCCAGTATGCTGTGGTTAAATAGTAGGTGCCGTAGAGGTGCCACAGCACCCCATATGATGTACTGCTTGTAATTTGAAACTAGGCTGCAGCTTTAGGCTTTAGACAGCATTAGCAATAGCTCTCCTTTATCACTTCAGCACCACGGACAGTGCACATTACACAATGTAGTCCTATAGGTGTTAATAATGGATCATCCATACTAAACTGTGAAGACATGGATCAAAATACAGTGTAGGCTGATTTAAACTATTTTACCTAAATTCCCTCAAATTCTTCCAAAGTCTGTGTATCACATCAGAATGGTTGAAAAAAACAATTTCTACTTGGGACCAATGTTTGTGCAATAAAAAGCTCTATATGTGCAACATTTTCTTTTTTTTTTTGAAGAGCAAACCTCAGGTAAGGGTATACTTAGGAAGAAAATAATGCTTATTCTTTTACCAAGGGAAATACAGTAAATTGGATGGAAAGGATTATGTTGAAAATATTAAAATTCTGAGTAAATCCATGTACCACAGTAGAGCACAAATTGTTGGGACCCAGTGAGGGTCCAGTCACGCATAGTTCCTGCGAGCTGACTGAACAAAGCTGACGCTATACCATTGTATAAGGACACATGCACAGCCAAGAGACTGACACTGACAATAAACATAATATGAATACATGACAAAAGAGAATAATTATTGAATACATGACAAAAGAGAATAATTATTGAATAAAGGAAGAATTACTTACAACTCTCTATCTCGAGTGTGCAATTTTGCTCATCCAGCGGATATCTTCTCAGGTCCATCATACACGCAGCAGTGGTAGTGATCCTGGACACACATGACATAATGAAATGTTCAGTCCACAGCATTCTGAATTTGTTAGCAAAACTGATATTTGTTGTGTTCAGCATCAGAAAAACAATATCTCCAGCATCTTGTCCAGCAGATGTTAGCTTGCTAGTCAGAAGGTAAATCACCACTTGATTGCAATCATACAGAATTGTTTAGGACCAAACCTTAAAGGACCAAATCTCCAACTACTATGCATTGGTGCTTGATGATTTGGGTAAAGTTAGGTTTTTGTCTTCACAGTGTCATGAATTAAATTTGTAAACATGTCAAAATGTTAGTACCATTTAACATCATTCACCAAATCACTTAAAATTACATCTCACTTAATTCTAAAGACCATTTATTATCCATGTAACCATGATCAACTCAACAAGATTTCAGATCTTCACAACCTCCACGGGTAAATCCAGGAGCCTTTGTGGGTTTAGGGATAGTGGGAACTCCACTGTGGATTACAGGGCCGAAGCTAATCCTTATGTCCCAGTTCTAGCATTGTTTGGATAATCCTGTGGGTCCTCTGTCAGGCCCCACCTGAGATGCGAGTCACTGCAGGGAACAAACTCTGTGGGACAACAGTGGCAGCAATAGACCAGAGATATCAGTGGTGGTGTTTGTCATATTGTCATTAAATATGGTGCATGAAAGGTGTGTGTGTGTGTGTTTGTATTACAACCTGATGACATCCTAAAGACTTTACAAGTCAAGATTACATTGAATACTACTGCTACTTAAATGACAACAAGAAGCACAAGGTAAAATGTATATTTTACATTGAGATTACGTTATTTTTTAATAGCTGTTAAAACAAATCTGTGTAGAGCAATAGATAGATAGATATTCGCTTTATTTGTCCCACGATGGGGAAAATTCCAATGTTAACAGCAGCAAAGTGGATAGAGAAAAAAAGTCTAAAAATATATATATATATATATTATATATAGATATAAACAAAATAATCCATGTCAAAAAGCTTTGTTTGAGCTTTGCACAGTTGTCCATCCCTCCCTCTGTTGATTTGACTAAATAAAAGAGATTGTGGGAGGTTCTTTTATGTTTGTCTCCACTTAGACACAAAGCGATGAAGTGTCACTTGAGAAGGAAGAGTATATGAGGTACTGGCAACTCCACAAAAACACGGAAAATAGTGACATGTTGATTTTTAAGCTAATTAAATTAACTTCCTTCTGCATCTACCAATGAAGTATAATGACTGTAGCATTCAGAGAATATATAATGTATCATACACATAAATAAGCCAGGGAATGTTCCTCTCTTAACGTTGTGTAAATCAAGGGAGCTGTTTTTATTGTGTATAACATGGGACCAATGGAATAGGCCTCAACAGACTATATATTTTATCCCGACACTGTTCATTACCAAAAGGTCTCAGAGTTATCATTTAGTTAACAGGTTTCATCTGTGAAAGTACTTTAAATGACAAATGTAAATCATATTATCCTGTAGCAGGCTGAAGTGGGCTTTAATCTCCAGCACCCGAGGTGTCATAAATCAACACGACCTGACTCTATAGAACATGTTGAGAAAAAACGATCAATAAGACTGTAGATTATTATCTCCATTTCAACTGGGATGGCCTCAAGGATGATTGTATAGACAGATACAACAGCTTTAAGGTAAAAGGGACAGCATAAAACAGACACCTGAAGCTTAACTCTTTAACTTTCCCTCTGGCAGAATCCAATTTTGACATAAAAACATGTCATAAACTGGGCTATGTTCAATTTCAGTACAGCCAATGATGAGAGGGAACCAGATTATGGTTTTAGTTCTTTAGCATGGAAGAAAAGTGTTGAATTAAATATTTATGTCTATTTGTATGTTTTTTTTCCAAGTAAAGAAACACCTCATTAGTTGACCTTAAACATAAATTTTATTTCTTTTTTCTTAGGATTTTCTGTCTACATGAGCAGTAGCCAAATAAGTCAAAAACTCACGGATTTGAATTTTAACAGTGTTTGAATTATTTGACACTGAGCCTGTCATTATTCAAAGTGATGCTTCAAACACAAGAAAAACACAAAAGACAACCTGACATTTTCTCCATATTCTACTTGAAATTGCTGCAGTCAAGATCACATTTGTCAAGTCCAAGACAAGTCCAAAACCTGGACGAGTCCAAATAAAAAAGAGACAGTCAAAACTGAGATAGAAAAAAAAAAAATAGCTTTTGGCATTGCCAGTAAAAAAGAAACCCAGGCATATGATTGCAATTGACACCTAGAAATCATGGCTTGGTAACCATGGTGACCAGGCGGCCAATATCAATGGATGGATTTTAAATGAAACGTTTTCTGAATAAGTGCGCCTCATCAATAGTTTTGTTTGGAAGGAGGGAGTTAAACATATATTGCTGGACTCAAAATCCACTAGAATATTTGTTGAGACAAATGGCCAGATCCAAGACTAGTCCAAGTGCAAATACCCATAAGTCCAAGACAAGCCTGAGACAATAGAAAAAATGTCAGAGACCAGACTCAAGTATTACAACCCTGCATGAATCCTATACTAACGTATAATGCATTTTTAAACCAGATACATGGACTATATGAAATGACTGCAAATGAAACAAAGCAATTTAATTCTGGATTATTTATAGAATCACTGCTCATACGTCTAATCTGCTATTCAAACACAAATGTTTTAGCATGGTAAGTGCTTTTATGATAGCTGCAAACAGCATCGGCCAAGGAGCAATAGCCTTTACTGGTCATAGTTTGTGTATGTATGTCAGCATAATAGCATTTAGCCTTCCAATCATTATCAATACAAATAGACAGGGATGGATAATAAAGGATAATAACAGCAGCAAACCACGAGTCAATAGATAAGGTTATGTTGTCCATCAGACTCTGTGAAAGGAACATAAGGATGGGACTGTGAGAAATAGGCTGCCATTCTTTCCTTGGCTCTGGTCTTGTGTGAGAACTTGACTCCCACTGAGGGAGTTGCCACAGAGCAGCACAGCATGGTGGGTAATCGTCTAGGCACACCTGACAACATAGATAAATTTGTGCCAAAGGAGAGGCTCATCTTGAGTCCAATCCTCTGTGTTACACAGCAGAGATAATCACCCTTGTGTGTCTCTGTGCCTCTCTCACTCTTTTGCTCTCTACTCTCGTTGCTCTCTCTCTCACTATTCCATTATTCAGACCAGCAGCCACTGCAATGCCAATCTTTTTGCATCTCATAATCCAAGTATTTCTGAAATCCAAGCCATCCAAGATTCATGCAAATGCATATTGGACAACAACACAAAATAGTGTATGTGATACTGTTTGTCTGCAAGCTTTTGAAATGATGATGCAGCAACATGACAATACTTTCACAGAGCTGTTTTCTGTATACCTAGAGGCATCCCATTCTGTCTGTAAATCATCTCTGTGTCTAAGCAACAGAGCTCTCCACAGGCACCATATGGTGAACAGGTGGGACCACACCTACCCAATTTAAAACAGTCCTTGTAGTATACTTTACATAAATTGAGGTCAAACCAAAATCAAGAAGAACTCAATGGTAAATGTTTTTTATTTTACAGTTCATGATTTTTTGATTAATGGCATACTGTAATTCACCAGAAATATTGTATATTATCATCTCTTCTAGAGATGGTCCTGATTTGCCTCCTCCACATACGCAGGCATGGCCAGTTCAGTGCTTAAAAAAAGAGCAAAACCATGACCAAAAATCTTTTGGATATTGTGCCTCATAACCCAAAGTGCATGGAAGTCTTAAACTTATAATTATCAATTTTTGTGGAGATCATAAGTTGAAGAACATCGGGGGGTGAGAACCAGAGGGGTGTAAGTGACATTTGACCAACTTTACAGGAGAGCCAAAACAAAATAAACAAAACATATGAGCATACTTTATTGAATTAAATCCATTTTAAATCTTGTGGCTGACAATATATTTATTGAATAATATTTTGACTTTTATTGAAAAAATGTAACTCAAATAACTCAGTGTTAGGTCTTTTTTTAATTATGTTTTATTTTTATTAATAACTCTTATTAGGATTAGGATTGCAGTAGATATAGCTCACCAAGAGCCTTCATTTAACATACTTGTTTTTACCTAAAGTGTCGCTTACACCCCCCTTGCTGGTGTTACTTTGGATGAGTGCAAAAGCTACAGGATAAATTAAACTCAGTGTTTGGAGCATAATGCTTACAGTATGTGGCCATTAAGGCTCCTAAAGAGGAAGACATAATTATATTGGTCATTATAAGGTAGTACAAAGTGGACAACTTCATGACCCTTCTCTTACCAAGAGTCACAATGGTTTATTTTAATCCAACTTAAAAGTTGTTTTTACTGTTAGATATCACGGCTTATGGCTATTTAAATACCCACATGAACAACAAGGTGAAAGAGACCACAGGAGTGAAATAAAAAGGGATGGAAGAGAGCACAAGAGGGAACATTTGAGGACAGAGGATGCCAGGTGAGACAGCACGGGGACTATCATAACAGCACCTTTTAATAGCAATAAAGAAGTTCAAAGGGAAGAGTTCTACTATTAACATGCTGTTTCATATTACACATCTCAGGGGTTTCCACCCCCCCACAGTGAGACGGGATGGTTGTTTGAGCCTAAGAGGTTTAGATGTATTCCCCTTTTCTTTCTTTCTTTCTTGTCCCCTGTCTTTGTCAGCGTTTATTTCTCTCTGATGGATTTGCTGCTGGTGATGGGGCTCTGTGGCTTCCAAGTGTTTAACCAAGGAGTAAATTGCCGGTTACTTTCTGGCAACTTTCTGATCTCTGTGTCAAGATGGAGTCAGTGGTGTAGAACTGAGAGCAAGAGCCTCTGGCAGAGTCTTTAAACAGACTGTGTGGGAAAGGGAAAAGTTATGCATGTTTGTGTGGGGTTATCTGTGTGCATTTGTGCTCTTGTACATGTTTGTTATGTTGCTGTCACCCTGTGGATGTGTGTGTCTAAGTGCCTGATTGTGTTT